ATTGTTACTTCTTTACTAATAATGACAAATTAGTACTTTGTGTACAAAAGTGAGAACATCACAGAAAAAATTTCAATTAATGCATAAACTTTTATTTCTTCTGCTTCTTAACAGGGTTCCTCTTGAGGTCAGTGCGGGTAGCTACCACTTTCCTTGAGTTGCACCTGTCTACCCTTTTGGAGGTGGCATGCCCCACCAACCTCCTGTAAACATTTATAACTGACTCCAGAAGAGAATGCTGTTCAACTTCAGGTACTGATGATGTGATATCATTCCATAAGTTGAGCAGCACAACGTCATCCATGGATTTGGAAAGGATGGCTTCCAAACTGAGGTCTTCTCTGAGGCCATGAACTCCCTCAAAAGTTTGTACAAGACTATCCAGTCGAACAAAAAAATCATAAGCCCCTTTGCTTGGCACTGTCAGTCCATTTTTCCCACTGATTCCCCGGTTCTTCTTGTCAATCCATTTCCTCACACTTTGATCAGTAATAGTTTCAGCAAAGGCTCCACCCTCAACGAAATAGTCTTTCACCAAATGCCACCTTGTAGCATAACGGGCTTTTTTTATGTTGCCTTTGTTCCAGCACTTATCCTTAATTTTTTTCAGGATATATCCACCTATGTAAAGTACCACTTCTCCTCTGTCCAACTTGCTTTGTAGCAAGGGCATACCCAGCCTCTCCTTCATTTTTGACAACCTCAGGAGGAAGAGGGCATCCCTCATCCTCATTACCAATGAGGACATGAATCTTGAGGTGTTTGGTGGAGGAGTTTGTCCGAGCATGTCCTGGAGCAAATTTGCCGATGCCGCTCTGAAGGTTGTTGAGGCCAGGAGGGTATGAGTCTTCTGAAGAATTCCGGAGAAATCTTCACGAAGAAAAAGTGGAGCAGTAGAGCATACCACTGGGAGGAGCTCCTCGCTCAGAAACTCAGCCAGTAGTCTAGTGCAGCTGGAGAGAAGGGCTGCTGCTGTTTTCTTCGTTTCTTCCCAACCATTCTCCTTGGCTTGGAGCTCCTGAAGGACTTTCCTAAGAATGTCGTTGACCGAGTCCTCAAGCTCCTTTGGTGACACCATTCTTTTGCGTCGCTCTGTATTGACAAAATGAATCCATGTATTATTAAAGATATATTATTCAAATCTATAAAGAGGGAAATAACTTCTTTGCCAGACACCTAATTTTCAACATACCCTGGACATTGTGCAGTCTGATGTGGGTCGCAAGCCACTTTTCTCTGCCTTTCTCAGTGCTTCCCCCGTATTGCTTCCTGCATGCAGGGCAAATGCTAGAGACTTCATCCTCATCCCCACCATCAAAAACCGCCCAATCGTCATCATCCTCCCAATCAGCAGGGTTCAGGAGTAGACTCCAAACTGAAGCAGTGTCACAAGAGTCTGAAAAAGACACAGTACTGCTAAGTTGTAGGTCAAGAAGCAATATGTGGATTGGTAAACAATTGTCAGATTGTAATAACCAACTACCTAAATTTATTTCATCCATGGCCACGCTGAAGACCTGAATAGAACAGAAAGGAGGATAAAAAGTGTTATTTCATTGCCCTCCTAGCTAAATTTGTCGATAACAGCAACGAGGCTTGCTTTGTCTGTAAAGCTGTCTTGAAGTATTTTGCAACTATTTTTCAAATTTGCTGAAGGT